GAGGCCGCAACGGTCGTTAAGTGTGAAAAATGGTGCTAAATCACTTTTTTTTCAGTGCCATTGTAACTTCAAACAGTCACTAAAGGAACTGTTGTAAATCGAGGACCACCTAAATTCAGATGGTTTGGCAAGTGGTTTATACTTACGACGGTCACAGTTTAACTATTCAAAGTGACAACGGCACTGAAAAAAAGGAACTTGGGACCGTTTTTCACACCTACGACCGTTGCAACATCCCCGTGATCATATGATTCGAAATTCAGAATGCTTGGCAACTGGCATGTACTTACGACGGTTGCAGTGTCCCAAGGTCACGTGACTCCCCTTTGACAACTTTCTGACCAGCATAGTTAATAAGGAAGCCAGATTCACTTAATAACCTTGCTACAAACGTAACACATGCATTGATTCGCTTAACAACTGTGGCAAGAAAGGTTGTAAAATGAGGCCAAAAAGCTCAATTCACAATGGTCCCGCTTAGCAGCCAAAATGTTCGGCTCGATTGTGGTCGTAAATCAAGGACTACCTGCAGAGTTAAATCTGGCTTCACAGCCAGCGGTGGGTTTCACATTTTGTTACTACCGGTTCTCTGTGCGCGGGCGCCCGGTCCGCGCAGACGCCTGCCTTCCGTGCATGCGCCCAGCCTACTGCGCATGTGCTTTGCTCATGCAGGCGCCTTCCTTGCATCCACTCGGCCTCAAAAATGTGTCTAAATAGAACAGCATAGAGCCAGGGCAGGTGGGCAGGCAATTTCCGCTACCAGTTCGCACGAACCGGCTGAACTCCACCTCTGTTCACAGCCCTCTCTGCCATCTGCTGCCTCCTTCTCTGCTGATTTGTACAACTGCTCGTTTCTCTGCAAATTCCACGTTTATTGCTACGTTTTCATAGATATATATATATTTTTATTATCTCCCTTGCTTACTCCTACTCTGCCTGGCCCCGTCTGATGCTCTGGATAAGATCAGGCGGGGGGGGGGGGGGGAAACACAACAGCTGTTGTTGCTGCTGAACCTCTCTGCTGTGTCACTTTTTAGCCAATGGATAGGTGCGTAAACACAACGGACACACTCACACGAACGCACTCACCGTTCCTAAGCCATACTACTCAATTCCACGCCACTAATACGGTGTTTTCTTTTTTGAGTTTGGGGTTTTTAATTTTCTCCAAAGACAATTCAAGATACCAAACACAGGTTGGAAAGCAAAAAGAAAAAAAAAAAAAAAGAGAAGGAAGAGAAGAAAAAGCACAAAGTGGAAAAGAGAGAAGAGTACGGGGATTTTTTAAATCTTATGTATCAAATTCAGTTGAACCAAACCATCATATATGGCAGCGATGGCTAAACTTTTTGCCGTCGTGTGCCAAAAGCGGGGGTGGGGTGAGGATTGCACATGCGCGTGCCCACACCCATAATTCAATGCGCCCCATTCCCCCATGCATGTGCGTGTGTGACCTCCCCCGCTCTCCCCCCGCTTTTGGCATGCGATGGCCCGGTAGGCACAGTAGGCCCATTTTTTTGCCCTCCCCAGGCTCCAGAGCCTTTCTAGGAGCCTGGGGAGGGCAAAAACAGCCTTCCCCACTCCCCCGGAGGCCCTCTGGCAGCCCAGAAACAACCCATTTCCTGACTTCCAGTGGGCCCGGAGGGCCTGAAAATAAGCTGGCCAACGCACGCATGCGTGCTGGATTGAGGTAGGGCAACGCTCGCATGCCCACAGATATGGCTCCATGTGCCACCTGTGGCACCCGTTGTTGTGACTCCGACCCCCGAGGCCGACTTATTCGAGGGAGAAGGCTCTGAACATGAAGGAGAGGAGTTGGCCAGGCCTCCCTCTCCAGGACCCTCCTCTCTGGCAATGCCTCAGGTGTCTCCTGTAGGAGAAGAGATTGGCCAGGAGTCAAATATCTCCTCACAGTCGGACAATGAAGGAGATAAGTCTTGGCTGGAGCCACGCCAGCGTCGGAGAGACAAGCGCACGCAACAGAAAAGGAGGCATGCCAGAGATTAAGCTGAGTCACTGGACCACACCCCACAGGGGATATAAGGGGGTGAGGTGGCCATTCAGACTCTGTGATGGACAAAACTAACTACTATCGAATCACATTGTATCTTTGGAAACAACATTATCGGCCTTGGATTTAATTATGGACTGGACTTGACAATTCTTAACTGTGTGTATCTTGTTTATGAGTAAAGTTCTTGGCAAGCAGCTACTGGGTTGCTGCCAATCCTCTTATCGAAAGAATTGGTTGTCTGCCTGTTTATTTAACCCCCGGCTGTCTGTTTGTGTGCGTGTGTGAGACGGGGACAGAACACCCGTGCCATAGGTTCGCCATCATGAATATATGGCTTAATGGTGGTTGGCTTAGTGATGGTTTGCCAGACAAAAGCCGCCTTCCTCCCATCTATTCCAGCTTGACTCCCTTGGCCTCTTCCAAAAAATAGGGATTCGCAGCCATTCGTTTAGCGAAGGTTACAACGGCACTGAAAAAGGTGGCTGATAATCGGTCCTTGCACTTATGACCGCCGAACATCTCCACAGTCAAGTAACCAAAATTCAGACCCTGGGCAAGCGGCATGTGTTATATGACAGTTTCAACGTCCCCCCACGTGATGGCCGTTTACAACTTTCTCAGCTGGTTTCCAACAAGCAAAATGAACAGGGGGAGCTGGATTTGCTTAATGACCACATGATTTACTTAACAACTTCAAAAAAAAGGCTTGCAAAATCAGGCGCGACTCACTTAACAACCGCCTTGCTTAACAACGGAAATTCTGCTGCCAATTTTGGTTGCAAATCGAGGCCTTTCCCCCAAAATTTGTTCTTTTTAACCTGTTTTGCTTTTAAGCTTTTACAAGCCTTCCATTTTTTCTTCTTCTGCCATAATATCTTAGAGAGAACTTTCATCCTAAAACATCCAAGGCCTTCAGCCCCTATTGCCTTGGGACCCAAAGACGATTTTAATTCATGTTTTGTTATTTAAAAAAACAACAACGATGGTTTTATTTGCGCTGTTTTTAGATTTGATTTACACGCCTTCCTTTATGCTTTTATTGAACGCGCTCAGCTGCAGCCCTTCGCTGGAAGGCAAGAGATAAATCTTTGGGATAATAATTATGAAAAAGGGGGGAGATTTGGCCGCAGAAAAGTGGTATGAAGTAGATGGAGTCAACGTGGTATCTAAAGAGCTGGCTGCCTTGAAATACACTCTATAAAGCCTTAATAAGACCACACCTAGAATCCTGCATCCAGTTTTGGTCACCACACTATAAAAGAGATGTTGAGACTCTAGAAAGAGTGCAGAGAAGAGCAACCAGGATGATGAGGGGACTGGAGGCTAAAACATACGATGAACGGTTGCAGGAACTGGGCATGGCTGGTCTAGTGAAGAGAAGGACCAGGGGAGACAGGATAGCAGTCTTCCAATATTCGAGGGGCTGCCCCAGAGAAGAGGAAGGGAGTCAGGCTATTTTCCAAGGCACCCGAAGGCCAGACAAGGAATAATGGATGGAAACGGATCAAGGAGAGATTCAACTTAGAAATAAGGAGGAATTTTCTGACAGTGAGAACAATCAACCAATGGAACAGAAGTTGCCTTCGGAAGTTGAGGGAGCTTCATCACTGGAGGCTTTCAAGAAGAGACTGGATGGCCATTTGTCAGAAATGGGGTAGGGTCTCCTGTTTGGGTGGGTCGACTAGATGACCTCACAAGATCCCTTCCAACTCTGTTAATCTGAATCTATCAAAGGCCTGGAGGCTAAAACATACGATGAATGGTTGCAGGAACTGGGCATGGCTAGTCTAGTGAAGAGAAGGACCAGGGGAGACACGAGAACAGTCTTCCAATACTTGAGGGGCTGCCACAGAGAGGAGGAAGGGGGTCCAGCTATTCTCCAAAGCCCCTGAAGGCCAGACAAGGAATAATGGATGAAAATGGATCAAGGAGAGATTCAACCTGGAAATAAGGAGAAATTTTCTGACAGTGAGAACAATCAACCCATGGAACAGAAGTTGCCTTCGGAGGTTGTGGGAGCTTCATCATTTGAGACTTTCAAGAAGAGACTGGATGGCCATCTGTCAGAAACGGTGTGGGGTCTCCTGCTTGGGCAGTTGGGGGTTGGAGTAGAAGACATACAGTACAAGGTCCCTTCTAATTCTGTTAATCTGCTAAAATGGCCACGGGCGCTTAAAAATAGCCACATCTGTCATCCCAAGCTCATTTTCCCCATCGGAGCAAACTGAGGCTAAGGAGGAAAGCTTTCCCAACGACAACCCAAGATCACTGCTGCTTCTACTACACAAAACCAGTGAGAAATATTTCAGAAACTCACCTGCAGTGTATACAGGTAGTCCTTGACTTACGACCCTAACTGGGAGCAGAATTTCCCTCGCGAAGAAAGGCGGGTTGTTAAGTGAGCCAGGCTCAATCTGACGACCTTTTTGGCCATGGTTAAGCGAATCACTGCACAGTCGTTAAAACGAATCGCAGACGTTAAGCAAATCTGGCTTCCCCCACTGACTCTGCTTGTTTAGAAGTCAGCCGGGGGGAAGTCGCAAATGGTGATCATGTGACCTCGGGATATTGTAACCGTCAGGCGCCTGAAATTTTGATCGTTTGATCTTGGGGGATGCTGTGATAGTCATAAGTGCAAAGACCGGTCATAAGTGTGAGGACTGGTCGTAAGTGTGACGACCTGTTCTAAGTTACTTTTTTTCAGGGCTGTCATAACTTGAAACAGCCACTAAACGGATCGTTGTAAATCAAGGACCACCTGTATGAATGTGTACATCTCCCATAAACCACAACTTGGCAAATATTTTTTTCTCCGGACTCAAAACATTTGGCCACGAAGCTGGGGTCGGAGAGGTTGTGAGACGCATACACACCTCATTTTAGCGCTTACCCCGAGCCCGGCCGGAAGGCAAACACCGAATCCACCGAGAAAATAATTCCAAGCCACAAGGCTTGGCCGACGTGAAGCCAATTCGCCAACGCTTACCATTTTCAATTTGTGCTGCTGCAGAATCTCATCCAGGTTTTGCCTTTTCTTGTAGTTGAAGTAGAAGTTTTTACACTGCGAGACGCTCTTCGACCCCACCATGCGGGCAATGGCGGACCAGTTGCGTCCATGTTCAAGGAGACCTGGGTGGACAAGGCAGAAAAGCAGAAAGTTAAAAAAAAGGCTTTGGAAAAGACAGAAAGTTTAAAAAGGCAGAAAGGTTAAAAAAGCAGATAACAGGAAGATGGTTAAAGGCAGAAAGACTAAAAGTTTAAAAAGGCAGAAAAGTTAAAAAACAAAACAAAATCAGAGACAGGAAGATGGTTAAAGGCAGAAGGCAGAAGGTTAAAAAAAAGGCAGAAAGGTTAAAAAAACAAAAACAAAATCAGAGACAGGAAGATGGTTAAAGGCAGAAAGGCAGAAGATTTTTAAAAAGGCAGAAAGGCAGATTAAAAAAGGCAGAAAGACAGAAGGTTAAAAAAAAAGGCAGAAAGACTAAAAGTTTAAAAAGGCAGAGAAGTTAAAAAACAAAGCAAACCAGATACAGGAAGATGGTTAAAGGCAGAAAGATTAAAAACGGACCAGGAAGATGGTTAAAGGCAGAAGATTTTTAAAAAGACAGAAAAGTTAAAAAACAGATTCTCGGCTTACAACTACAATTGAGCCCAAAATTTCCGCTGTTAAGCGAGACGGTTGTTCTGTGAGTTTTGCCCCATTTTACAACCTTTCTTGCCCCCGTTGTTAAATGAATCATGGCAGTTGAAAAGTTAGTAACCCGGTTGTTAAGTGAATCTGGCTTTCCCCCACTGCTTTTGCTTGTCAGAAGGTCGCAAAAGAGGATCACGTGCCCCCCCCCCCCCCCCCCCCGGGGACGCTGCAACCGTCATAACTACGAGTCAGTTGCCAAGCGTCTGAAGTTTGATCATGTGACCGTGGGGAATGCTGCAACGGTCATAAGTGTGAAAAAAGATCGTGACCTTTTTCAGTGCGGTTGTAACTTTGAACGGTCACTAAAGAAAACTGTTATAAGTCAAGGACTTCCTGTATTTATTGATTTGATTGACGCTCTGCTTTTTGGCTCTTGCCAGCTATCTATCTTTCCACAGATCTATAGAATGGGTTTGATTTCAGATCTAGTCTTTTTTTTTTCCGAATAGCCGCGTTGATTTCCGTGGGCCTAATAACGAAAGATAGATCCGGTCCATCATTTGGACCGATGCTGGGAAGATGTTCAGAGCATCCATCGAGATTTAGCCCAAAACCTCCAAAAGTCAAAAGATCCTCAAAGCCATTCAGGTCATCATCAGGGATAAATTCCAGAATAATAAAGGTAAAGGTTCCCCTTGCACGTATGTGCTAGTCGTTCCCGACTCTAGGGGGCGATGCTCATCCCCGTTTCAAAGCCAAAGAGCCAGCACAGTCCGAAGACGTCTCCATGGTCATGTGGCCGGCATGACTCAATGCCAAAGGTGCACGGAACGCTGTTCCCTTCCCACCAAAGGTGGTCCCTATTTTTCTACTTGCATTTTTTACCTGCTTTCGAACTGCTAGGTTGGCAGAAGCTGGGACAAGTCACGGGAACTCACCCCGTTACGCGGCACTCGGGATTCGAACCGCCGAACTGCCGGATCAACAAGCTCAGCGTCTTAGCCACTGAGTCACCGCGTTCCTTTTAAATTCCAGAATAAGACACGATAAAAAACCCCGAAAATGTTAGCCAAGGAGGAAAGTAGCAAAAATTCAGACCAAATCTCAGCGGGAGACCCATCGATTGGTTTTCCCCCTTGAAAACCCCCATACAGGGCCAAACCGACTCGCTCGGGGTTGTGTGTAAAATGAAAGCACGCTAACTCCGCCAAAGGAAAAACCCTTCTCTCGCTCTCACTCTCTCTAGAAAGGGGAGAGAGGGCCATAAAAACAACCGTTAATCTTCTCCAGATTAAAAAAATAACAAAATAAAAGGCGAGGATAAAAATAGACATCGGAATAGCGCCTGAGAACTTTTGCCTGCGTTTGAGGATGGAATAAAAAGCGAAATCGCTTCATCTGCTCGGGGATCGGGAAGGTGCAACTCTGTTTGTCTTGGCACCTGTTGAGGACTTGAAACTTGGGGTTTTTTTCCCCCCTTCTTTGCTCCAGCCCGCTGGATTTGCACCAACTCCAATGTTCCCGTGAAGTTTCTGAGAAACACCCCTTGTAAACAGCTCCTTTTAGCTTTCGTTTAAAAACAAGAACAGAAAAAAGAAAACGAAAGGAAACTGTCAACCCGGAATGGATTTCCCGGAGGTCTTTTGAATCACTCCCCAGAATCGTAAACTTTGGGGAAGTCACTTCTCTTTTCCCCTTTTGCTTCCTCCTTTGAATAAAGTGGCCTGCTTCGCAGGGCTGTTGTAAAGCCGTCGGTCTGGGTAGGAGACTGGATTGCAAGACAGCAAGCGGGCGGGCTCTGTGCCATCTGTTCTGTGGTCAGATCTGAACTCGTGGCCACTCCTAATCTGCGTTTTTCTCCACCGCTGTTTAGCTAAAGTTGAGTCTTACCGATGTCTTAACTTTTGAGGGCTGTTAGAATCCCCAGGGAAAGGTGGGGCGAGGTGCTCTTTGCAAACGCCGACCATCCTTGCCAAGTTTTTATAAACTACCTTGAAAGATAATTAAAATCACATTCCCTATTAACGGGCAGAGTTCAAGCGGCTGGCATGAAAAATGCAGAATTGTGCCCATCAGAAAGATGCCCCCGGGGGGCGTGGGGGGTGGCTTTGGAGCCTTTAAAGAGCCTTCAGCCCAGGCTGGCATCACACCTGCCCGACCCTGTGCGGTCGTACCCCGTGGGTAATACATCGCCCACAATCATCCCCGCCCATCTTCCCTGCAGCAGCCGACGCTCGCGCACACACAGCTGCTCTTATCTTTCCAGCACCTCCGATTAAAAAAAAAAAACACACCAACACCTGCTTTCCAAAACTATAATTACACACACACACACACATAGACACACACACACACACACACACACACTCACACTCACACGCCTGGGGAAAGACGTGTCAGCAGCTACCTTTGGTTCCTGCCAGGAAACACCCAGTGTGTCCCACAGCTGGGAAAAGGCCCCCCAGTAAGTTATGCTTCCTACAAACTCCACGCCTGCCTGCCTTCCCTTCCCCGCTTGCTCTAAAAAGTCCCTGCTAAAATTTCAAACTTTTAGGAAGAAAAACTGGAGGTTTCCCATCCCCAGTCAGATCTGGGCGTTGGGAGGTCCGGCGCAGAGGGCACGGTGCATTGGGACCTTTCCACCAGGAACCACGCCAGTGGGACACTCCCTCCTCCTCTTCCCTCCCTCCCTCCCTCCCTCTCTTCCACATCTCGCACACTCAAAACGGCTCAGATTTTCCACTTATCCTCCCGTGTCCCGTCCCTCCCTCTTACAAGCCCCCACTTACATCCTGGTCCACATTCATCTGCTGGCTGCTCGACCGAAACCATACGCGGGGAAGGAGGCAGGCAAATTCTCCGGAGTTTGGGGAAGGAGGAGGAGGAGGTCAGGCCAAACAAAGCAACCTCCCCCCCCCCCTTCTCTTCCAGATTAAAATAATCCAAGAAAGGAAAAAGAAGGAAAAGAAGAAGAGACCAGGCTGGCTCCGATGCTCTCTTTTTCCTCCTCCTCCTCCTCCTCTTTGCTGGCTCGTATCTCACGTTCTTCCTCGCCGCGGACTCTCTCCGGGCAGTCCCGGAGAAGAGGCATGTGCGCCCAGTCGCCTGCTACTCCGGGGAGGGTTTTCTGCAGCCGGTGCCAACTCCAAACTGGGGGAAAGGTCAGCCGATCCCGGAAGGCTTCCTCCTCCTCCTTCTTTCCTGGCAGTGCCAATCCTCCAACTCAGTGGGCGCCTCCTCTTCTTCCTCCGAGCGAGCGCAGACTCCCACCTGCTCGGTCCCTGGGCGCTGCTTCCCAGCCGTGTGTCTCTTTTACAGTGGTGGAGGAGAAGGAGGAGGAGGAGGAGGAGGATTCGCTTCCCTTCCCCTCCCAAGCCTCCGCAAACTCCCTTGCCAGCCTTCGCCTGCCTTTCCCCAAGCGGCTCCGGGTGCCAGGAGGGGCAGGAAGAGAGGGGGAGGAGGAGGAGGAGGAGGAGGAGGAGGAGGAGGAAGAGGAGGAGGAAGAGGAGGAGGAAGCAACCCAAAGAGACAGATTTTGGGAGAGGGTCCAGGTCGCGGCCGAAACGTGCAGACGGGTGCAGCCTTCGGCGGAGAGAGGAGGAGGAGGAGGAGGAGGAGGAGGAGGAGGAGGGGAGGGCTGGCTTGTAAGGGAGGAGGAGATAGGAAGCACCGTGGGGAGCTAGCCCCCTCTGCTTCCCCGCCCTCCCGCCCTGCCCCTATGTGACCCAGAAGTTTGCTCCGTCTGAATGTGACCTCTAGACAGCGTCCACAAGCCGCGTGGCATCGGCCCAAGACGACAAGGGTGCGGCCAACTTGGCAAGCCTTCCCCCCCCCCTTCTCTCTCTCTCTCTCTCTCTCTCTCTCTCTCTCTCTCCTCTGAATGTCAACAGCAGGGGAAAAGAAACCCAGGAAAACAAAACGTTTCTTAATCACTTCCTTCTCTCTGATCTCAATCAAAGGGGTTGTTCTTGGCAGCCGCTCCCACGCAAGCGGGGACCCCCTCCTGCCGGGCCTCTGTTTCTCTCTCCTCCGCCCCCCACGCCTCCACACACACACACACACACACACACACACACACTTCCCGGAGGGTGGATTTGGTCCCAAACGTTTTGGCTTGCAGGGCGCGCCAGTCAGAGCAGGATTCTGGAAAGGCAGTGGATGGGGGTGGGCAGCAAGGGGGAGCCCCTTTCCCCAGGGGAATGAGTGGGGAGCCTCCAAGTCCCCCTGACTCAAAGGCAGGAAATTGAGGGATGCACGCTTTCCCCCCCCCCTTCACCATGCAAGGAGGTGCGTCTCTCCTCTTCCCCAAATGTAGAAAGCTTTGGATTAGGCGGAAAGGGGGGATTCCCCCTCCCAGCAAGTGAATCCACCAAGAACCCCATTTATTGGGGAGACTCAAAGTCCCCCTCCCAGGGCAGAAAACTCAGGGAAGCATGCTTTCCCCCCCCCCCCCATGCAAGAATCTGCATCTTTCCTGCCCCTCAAAATGCAGTGA